AGGGTTAAATCAGCTTCCCTGAATGACAGCAGCTCTGCTGGCAAAAGCTATCTTCTGCTGCCTGCGCTGTACCCATAGCAGGGGGCTTGCTGGCAAAGCTACCTTAGCTGTAGGGTGTGATCTTTTCATACCTGCTGGTCAATACCACTCTGCTAAAAGAACTTCGTAACGTAGACAAGCTCTTGAATGTGTGACAGCCTCTTACTATCTTGCCCTTAAAACATGCCTGCCTTTAAATTAGTCCCAAATAAAAATAGAAGCTTTGCATATTTTTGCATTATGATAGCCCTTCAAGGCCCCAGAGAACAGGCCCCATGGTGTTGGCCAAAAACCATATTTTTAAGATATACAGTTTCCAACAGTTCTCCCCTGCTCCCAGCACTCTGACACCCCTTTGACAGCTTGCCCCACCTCTTTTATAAAATCTTAAGGGTACATGGCTCACTGAGTCATATCCTGATCAATGCACAGAACACAAATGACAGGAGCAGTACAAAAAGGGTACTTCGCCCTGGAAGAGACTGAGAAGAGCTAATGCCAGGGTGGGAAGATTGGGTATCTGGACTCAAAATCCATTATTAAACATGCAGATTGGTCACTGATGTTGAGGTACTCGATTCAGCCTGTACAAGACCTAACAACAACTGCTTACTATGCACTTACCTCTATCTTCTTGGTCAGTCTGGTCACTTCAGATTGGTCCTGCCCATGCCCTTGGCTCTTGGCATTCTCCCTTGCTTCTTTCAACTGTTTCTTCTGCAGCTTTTCATAGCTTCTTTTCAGTCTGGCTAGCTGCAAGGAAGTCAATATAATTCTAACAATCCTGCACAAGGTCACAGTGCAAGAACTTAAAGTTGTTCTGAAGGAAGGGACATAAAGGCCTGTCATACAAACACTTCTTCAATCCAACAAAATTCAGAGACTGAGCCAAGATCCTGTGCATACTGAGGCATGGACCACTACAAGTTAACCTAAAATATATAAGCCTCTCAGCAGCAAAGGCTGTAGCAAGTTCATCAACTTCCATCTGTGGCCCAGCCGTCACGAGAATCTGGGGCTACCTTGGGCTCTAAGTGTTATACAAACATGGAGTGACAGTCTCCAAAAAGAAATAGGGTCCTCTGAGACTCAAACAGGAACTGAAGGGCTTCCCCTTAAAACAGAGTGCAAATAGCTACTCACCCTGCTATACTGCTTTCTTAGCCACACTATACCACTTCTCCACTGCCTTGAGAAAGGCAACAGGAAAAGGTCAAGATTTCGTGCCACAAACTTTGAATGAAATTAATATTTTGCATTTAAATTACATTTTTGACCAAATATGAATTTTTAATTTACATTACCCTACATCTTCCCTCTGAAGGTCTCTTTCCATTAGAAACATGGATGAACTGAACCTGAGACCACTGATGTGGTTAGTGGAAACATTATCCCATATTACAGATGGAAAAAGCAAAGGCCAGGATTATAAAGGAAACATGCAAATGAGATCAGGAACTATGCAAACAAGATCAGGAACTGAACCTAGATCTCATGACTCTCAGCCCCGGTCTTTAGCCATAAGAGAGACTTCCCTTCTTCAAAAGCCCAGTTCAGCAAAGTGCTTAAGCAGAGGCCTTACTGAACAGGAATGGACATAAATGACTTCAAGTTAAGCATGTACATGCCCTGAGCTGAAGTAGGGCCAAAATGCTCCCCAGGTATTGAGTTAGCTTTGCAGTACCCTTGTGAATAGAATACTGAATATATAAATGCATTGGTAATGATGGGTAAGGTCAAGAAGCAGTTCAGAGATGGAAGCTTGGACCCAAAGAAAGCTAGTGACAATACTAGGAAGAAAACAGACAGGAGAATCTGTCCATATTAAAACACCCAAGCTTTTCAGTCTTGCCCAGAGCCTGACTGCTATTCTAGTCCTGAACATTAATGTACCTCAATCTGCCAATGTACCTCAGTCTTGCTCAGCAGCACCTCTACCATTCCAGTGGGAACATCTCTTGAACAAAGACTGCTAATCATGCTGAAATATAAGGGGTTTTTAAATGAGGACATACACTTATGTGGAGCAAGATGAGACCACCAAATATATATATATAATTTTTTTTTTTTTTTTTTTTTTACTTATGCCCTACCATAAGCAGGAATCAAGCAGTTCTCCAGAGAAGTAAGGCCAACACACTGTTAGCCTTTCACGGTATTTAACTCTAAGTTACTGACACACTCGGGAAGCAGAAAAGGCCCAAATGTGAAATGCTGTCCTACCACGTGCAGGAAATCCCAGCATCTGCTGCATTACTGTGGGCAAAATGACTTCTGTGGGACAGAAAGTCTGGAATTCCTTTTAAGAGTCTCTGTCAAGTAAATTTAGTATTTAGGAAGTGAATTAACATACACAGGAGAGCAAAATCTCTTCAGTAAAGCTAAGCACAGAAAGAGTCTTGCGCTAATCTTTCTTGTGACTTTGGAGGGACAACAAGCAGGAGTGGGGTCAGGCTCTCTGCCCAGCCAGCAACTAGAAAGTCTGAGATGTAGATACCTGCCTTTGCTAAAAGGACCATGATCACCAATGGAGTTCACAGTGGCCACTCAAGAAGCAGCAAAATAATGTTATTTGGTCTGCCAAACTCAGCCAACGACAAGGTAAAATGGCCTGCACCTAACTGGCAGTGCCTTAGCCAAGTCTCAGGATGGACATACCAAGATTTACTAGAAAAAAGGGTTCTGGTCCCAAGGAAAAATAACCCAGCATCTTTCATGGCCTGGTAAACTTGAGTTCTGTGCAACTGGCTTAAAAGTGGTGAAAGCAACATCTTTTGTCAAAAAAAGAAAAGATAACAAAAAATCTTACTTAAAACAAAATGTCTATTTTGAAAAGGGGGAAGTGCCTGAGACTCCTGCAATATATTATTGGTCCTGCGTTTATAAAGAAGATGCTCCAGTGCTAGGATGATGGCTAGCAACATAAGACGAAGAGGTGGAGAAAGGACTTTGCAGGAGGCCTTAAAATATAGTCTTTCTTATTTACAAGGAGGTAAACAGGTCTATGGCAATTTTCAGAAAGAGAAAGATGGTGTCGTTGGATCCAAGTTATATCTTGCTGTTCTGAGCACACAAAATGGTGCACTATATTAGTTGGTGGGTGGCAGCTACCTTCCCGTGGATGTACTTCAGGAGGGATGTGCATTTTTATGCTCTAGCATGATTCATCTTGTTTATTTCACATGAAGAAGACCAGCTGCACAGTCATGCTTTTTTAATTTCATGATGTGCTGGGGAAATGCTGCTGTTGCCTGTACCCATAGCAACATAAGCATACACATCGTGATAGCTGGGGTGGGAGAAGACAGGAAATATTTGCTGTCAACTTCTGCAGATGTTTAACATATATGAAAATAGCAACAAGTCTTTACAGCATGCGCTTCTACTTCTACAGCAGTTTTAAGCCCTTAAATCCTCTGGAATGTAATCAAGCATATGACACAGGTACAGTGCTTCTGTGTCTAATCTATTTTCTTTTCTGGCACATGGCAGAGGCTGTAAGATTTAAAAAAAAGAAGCAAAATTCAAAAAACAAAAGTAACAAAATAGTTAATGTCAGATACCATTTTTCTGCAACCCACCTCCTCTTGAAATTTCTTCAACTGTTGTTCATATTCAACAGCCATGTCCTGCTTAGCCTTCTCCATGCCTTCCAACTGCTGGCATAACATCCCAACCTAAAAAAAGAATTTAACCACTCAGTAACTGTTAGCACAGTAAGTAGCAGGCTTTAACACATCTGATTGTATCACTGCTAGAGAAATTCTTCAGTTTTGGTATCTATGTGGGACATATAAGTGGCAGCAACTATGAGCATTAAGGGCCTGATCCTACAAAACCTTCTACATTGTGGACACTCGTACCAGCTAGAGCGGTAACTCACCACAAAAAGTTAAACACATGCTTAAATCTTTGCAGAATTTGGGTCTAAATTTGCTCAACTGTGTCAATTCCAGACCCTACTTTTCAGCTGTTCACAATTTTCTGAGATTTCCACCTTTTAGACTGAAACTTGCCCAGCTTAATTTCTATTAAAAGGCAATATTTTTCTATGTCATTTGATCAGAAACTGTTCACAAGATATGTATTAAAATCAAGCTGTCATTGACAAAGACAGTCACGTCCTTATCAAATTCCCTTCAGGTGAAGCAGAAAGCCTCCAAACTACATGTACAGGTAGAAAAGAATCGAAGTAAATAAGACTTTGAATCTTCTGAATGGGAGATTGTCCTTAAATAAATAAATAAATAAAGTATTTTTTATATATATATATATATATAATTTTTTTTTTTTTTTTTTTTAAACCCCAAACAAAAATTTGCAGCTTGTTTTCATTCGTGCACCTTCCCTGGGTTCTGGGGCAGGGACCTGTTCAATTGCATGTCTTTGAAGCATCCAGCTGATATCTGAGCAGCATAAAACAAAAACTATGTAACAAGTCAGAGGCAGGCAGAGAGGGCAAGATGATGAATAAACAGTCCTAGAGCATGAACAGCAGTGTCTGTCCTGTAATGATCTTAACCGCAGCTTATGCTATTGCTTTGAGGTACATTATAAATATAACCTACCTGAATCTCTATTTTCTCCTGCTCATTTTTATTTTAAGCTGAACTGCATAACAGTTCTAACAGTAAGTATATACATACTTGTTTATTTTGAGGACCACAGAAACAGCAGCTGTTTCTTGGTAACAAAGGCATACAGAAACACAAGCATCATCAATGGCTTCTGTGATAAAAGTGAGAATTCCAGTCCAAAAGGAGTTAGAACTTGAATGTCCTCCATGCCTCCTTCAACTGCTGCCAAAATACTATTTGTGGCAAGGGCAATGTGCTGACAAGAAATGTACATGACAAAAGAGCTGCACAATCAGAGGCAAGATTGTTTAAATGAAAGCATTATCATTAAGCATCAGAGGATGTGGACACACAAATTATACCACGCTGAAAGGGTCTGTCTTTGTTAGTTGATCCATAAGAACTGTTTCACATTTCTTCTCTTTCACAGCAAGTGGAGACTAAACTGAAGTAATTTAAAATTTGCTTAGTTCAGAGGTGAACTGCCCCAGTTCAGTTTTCACTTGCTTTGGGACAAGAGCAGACACAGGAAGCAATTACCATGGATCAACTGACACATGGTAATTTCCCCACACATACATCTTTTAAGTCAGTATAAACTGTTTGTCCACATCTCAGAGAGAGGTCCACAGCACACCACATTCCTCTTGACCTCCTAGAATCCAAGAGAAGACATAACAATTCAGTTTACAAGAGGCAAAGTTTATTACAAACAACCCACAGAAGACATTCCTGTACTGATGCAACAGTTTATCACATGCAGTTTTGAAACAACAGGAAGCCAGCCCTATGGCCCATCCACACAAAATAATCGCCTCGGAAATTCTCAACAAGAGCCTAGTGCAATTTAGCAAATCCCATTCTCACTTTCCAAGTGATGACATGCAATCAGGATGCTTACTGCTTGTCTGTCACCAGCTATTATTCCTGTGTTCTCCAGTTGCTTTGAGAGTCCAGTCTGTGATTTTGGCACCCAGCTATCACCATAGCTGGAGTTGGGTACGTCACTGCCATAGGTCCATTTGGAAATCCCAGCCCAGTAGTGCAAAACAGGCCGCAGCCTTTCCTTGGCACAGGGCTAAAAAACCTGTGCTTGTGCTTTTACATTTTTAATTAAAATTTTCTTTGCCTAATCTCTACTCTTTAATCAATAAAACACTAGCAAGGAAAAACAGATGCTTCAAACAGAACAGTGACCAAAATGGAAAGTGCCAAGTCTATGAACACTGAAAATTTATGTTTCTAGATGGAAGGACAGAGCTCCTGGATACAGAACAGAGTAAATCTGTGACAGTACCTCTTTGTGCTTCTCATTCAACAATGCTCTAGTGGAAGAAAGCTCCTGGTCTCGGACCTCCAAGCAAGCCTCTAGGGCCTGCGCCTGTCCTTCCCACTCAGATTTCTTGTGAGCCACCATGATGTCGATCTGCTTCATCAGCTCATGCAGCTCAGCCTCACAGGATGTCAAGAATCCTCTGCTGACAGGTAGACAACTTGTTAAGACCAGGGAATGGGCAGCACAGATACTGAACTCAGCAACAAGTGTACAGTTTCCCTGTATTCCCATACCCACCTCAACCCTTGGCACCTCCACCATTACAAGCAAACTCTCTAGAGCCAGCAGTTAGGGTTTTATTCGAGTATAATGCTTTCTTCAAACAAACAAACAAACAAACCCCAAAGAAAATTCTTTAACATTTTGGAAACTAACCAGACAGACTAGTTTAGCTCAACATGACTCAGGAATTCTTTACCTACATGGTGAACCTGCAGGGTCAATTTAGCAAATATAATCTTGTACTCATACTAGACTGAACTAACATTAATGCATGAGTGACTAGAATCTCAGCTGATGTAAATCAGCCTAACACCACTGAAGTCAATACAGCAAACTGATTTACATTAGCTAAATATCCAACCTTAAGCATACATGTAGCACTCAGCATTCTGAAATAAAATAGCTTAGCTGTTTTATGTCTTTTTCACCTATTCGCCCCAAGAAGTGAATTATTACCCTCAGAGATGGGATTGTTCAGAAGAACTCTACCCTAGCCCAACATGTGTCCTGTTAAAGTCAATGAGAGTTTTGTTACCACCTTCCACGAGCACAGTTATGCCAAACCCAAGCACTTTCGAAAACCTCAACCTGAACAAATAACCTTAATTATATACACTAAAACAGTGTTTCTCAACCAGTGGGACATGTCCCACTAGTGGGACTTCAAGGTCGTGTAGCTGGGACTTCAACTCATTGCCCGATTGAAAAAAAACAGTTGTTTGCACTTTAAGTAAATGAATCAACAGATATCTCAAACAGCGCAATTTTGTGGGGTTTTATTTTTATTATGGTGGAACCAAGGTTTTTTGACAAAACGGTCGGTGGGACATAAGGTGTAGAAGGTTGAGAAACGCTGCACTAAAAGACAAAACTCAATTTATTAAATAGGAGCATAAAAACATCTATAAAATACTAAACTCTGCAATTTGGCACTCTAATAATGCGCAATAAGCTAAACAGGTTTCTCATATTTTATATTTTTTAAAAATATTGCCCCAAAGCAGAGACTTTTTATACCAAGTTTGAGTCACAAGAGAAATCTTACAGCCAAGTTATCAGCTCCTGAAAATAGAAGTTTATCACATAAATGCTGACAAACCGCTAAGTAGAACAGGTTGGATGACACCACAATAATGAAGAATAAAACATTTGCAATCTACTAGAGAGTCTGCTCCCTAGAGAATCTGGGATTGCGAATTTGGTGCAGTAATCAGTGAAGCCAATTCAACTAACTTCTCTGAAACTTCACAAGTTGCTCAGCTAGGGACACTATTAAGTATTGCAAGATACAGCCCCAGAGAGCAGTGAACTCCATGCTGATCTTTACCCCTTTAATTTGCCTGTCAAACAGGAAGGACTGAAAAGAAATGGAAATCAATAGGTTAAAGGATTGAAATTTCTCTGTTTCCCCAGAGTGGCTGCACACTTCACAACTTGACAGTTTTTCTATAGGGCAAGAAAATATGCTCTTAAAGGAGCCGACCTCACTATTAAATTTGATGCTCACCCTGTCCTGCAAAGTGACCAAAAATTAAGCAGGAACCATGGCAAGTACATTTATTTTGTTTGCAGGAACTGTATAATAAGATTCATGTTTAGGTTCCGAAGCTAGTTATGCAAGGAAGAGATGGTATTTGCCATCTTTAAGGATTGGGCAAGTTCTGAAAAGGGATTACCAAAAGGGTCTCACACAGAGATGGAATACAAGCAGAAGAGTGACTTCCAGCTCAAATTTCCTCAATTACTAGGTAAAACTCTGCTTTTTCTTCCTTTTTTTGAATTGTAGATTCAGCCTAGGCTCTCAAAGCCGTATGTATTTTAGCCTGACTCTAGCATTAAAGATTCAGTAGCTGGAAGACATTTAACAGTTCTGCTGATAACACGCAAGCCAAAAAGGAATACAGCTTGCACTCCTGCCACTGGATAGTCCCTACAATGCCAGAAGGAGCAAGAAGCAGTAGGACTTATTTCAGCTAGGAAAGCAAACAGATTGGAGCAGATCTTCAGAGCGGAACCATGCTGCTTTTATGTATTTCACTACAAACGCACTTAGTGTCAAAAGAGCTTGTAAGAAGGCTGTAAATATAACACGAAGTGACAATTATTCAGAAAGCTGAAAGTACAGATATGCCAACTATTAAAACTATGAAGGCTGGTAGCCAGAGACTTCTGGAAAAGCAATTCACTACAGCTCTGCTCCTGCTCCAATAAGAAAAACAAAAAAACCCACAAAAAACAGCGGCACAATATATCAAGCCCCGCTAACTACATCCTGAAGGCTTTACTCAAGCATAAAACCCTGTGTAGGTAAAGGTTTGGCTGAGTAAGGAAAGAACTGAAGGACTACAGCATTTGAACTTAAACTAATACAGGTGTTTCTTTAGTTGAGAGGAGACTATTGCAAACAGCTACATACGTACCCGCCACGCCCTTGCTTTTGCATTCCCTCTAGCAAAGCCTCCATCACAAACGTGGTCCTCTATAGCAGCTAGAAAAGCAAGCCAAGTGGAGGTCAGGCTGCAGCACTTGATAACATGCTCTTCAGTGGGCTGTAGAAGTCTGGAGTGGGGAGAAGGAGGTGAAAAATTATGCAATTTACAGGGTATGTGTAGGAAGGGGCAAAAGAGTTGCAGAGTCTTCTTCAAGAGACTTGCAGGCCAAATGTTGGCCAGAGATATAAAAAATAAAGAAATCAGTCAGAACAAGAAAATCAGGACCATCGCTCATTGATTACCATCAGCTTAGCTGATGCAATAATGTGATCCAGCAAACACAATGATTCAAACAGTGGATGTGAAATATGTAGTCAGGCTGTGAACTTTAGTGAGCTGGTTAATTGAATGGGTCAGGCCATACTGGGGCTGGGGGGATTTTTATCCTCAAGAGCATAGGACAGTGCAGAACAGTAAAGAGACACAGAAACTGCTGGACTAGAGCAGCCCCAGCATCCATCTTGTTTGGGACAAAGGCCAGCACAAGCTGCTTCCAACAAAAACGTTAAGAACCCTGCAATAAGAAATGGCGGGATAATTTGTACTCGCACTGAAAAATATCCAGCTCCACCTTCCCTAAGCTCCCTGATATTCTATTGCCCAAGGTAAGTGCCTCTCTCTTGCCAGTTCCACGCACCAGCCAGGTGGCCTGATTTGGATTGGACAATTCTAGATAGAATAACACTGGCCAACGTACCAGGACCATTGGTTGTTCCTGCTTGAGGTTGGTCAATTTAATAATGGATGCTAACCGTGAATGCTCATGAGCATGAAGGCAGAGAGCTGACTTGTCCTCTTCTCCCATCTCCAGGTGGGAAGTGGAGAAAGAGGTAGAGAAAGCAACCAAAAGCACTCTCTCTAGACTCCCACCCGTGAAGGCAATCTGATGGCAATACCAACTCCCCTCCCTGATAATTAAAACTGCAGTGGAGAGGGCTGGTCTGTCACTCTGAGGAATGGGGAAAGGAAGAAATGAGAGAGCTAAAAAGGAAAGAACACCAAAGATTGGAAACAGAAGAAACTAAGGCATCTCCAGGAGAGAAAATTCATGCTCCCCTGGGGACAGGCGGGGAAGAAGAGAGAGAGAGAGAGAGAGACCCTCTGAAGTTGCCAAAGAATAGGGTATTTTGTACTTACTTATACTACAGGCCATTTATCAGAGGCCACACAAGAGGAACCCTTCAGGAAAATAGCCAAGGGCAGAATGGTTCTGTTGTACAGGAAAGTTGTGCAGTCTTCAATGATATAAGATGCTTCTCCAAATGCCAAATCTTTCACTGTTCTCTCATCACTAGTTCTTACAGATATCTTTGCAATGCCAGTCTGGCACCTGGGAAAGATCATGCAGCAGTATCAATTTTGAGCCCCTGACAAGTAAACCAGACAAACTCAATAAGCACCAGTTCACTTCTGAGCTTTTCTTTCCTTGACACTTTTCCGCAGACATGAGCAGCCACATCAGCATGACACCAGCGTCAGGTATGCTCCAACCTAACCAATGCTCTGGCAGCAACACTGATAGCAAAAGCCATGCTGAAGTAAGTGTCACATCTGACGAGAAGTAACGGCAATGCTAGAAAAACCCTGATGAATGTCAAGGGAGATACTGGTGATAATAGAAGTATCTAGATGGGTACAATTGCCTCGGGAAAGGACTGCTTGGTGGGACTTTTGGCTTAAAAATGACTGAGGCTGCTGGCAGTGGTAAATAGACTAAGTCTTCAGCTATAAATGTAAATATATATTAATGAGAGGGGCAGGGACATAGTTGGGGCCCAAGGTTTTCTGTCAAATTAAGATCTCATAAAGTATAACCGTCACACCAATTTAAAGATATAGACCACACAACAGTTAAGTCAAATGCCAAATAGTGCATCTTTTGCCAATGTGCTCCAGGGAATACTTCACTGGACTCTAGTAGCCAGTAAGGAAAGGGTTAAAGCAAGCCCGCTTTTTAAAATAATATATTCTCTTCCAAGCAAAGCCACCCTTCCAGGCCTACGTCACTGTTTCTACAACCTGACAGATAAAGCACTATTCTTGATGGCTTATTTGCTCTAAAAGGTCATAGCCAACACGAAAACCATTTGTTTGACTACCTTCATCACGTTTTCAGTTTGAATCTGCCTTTAGCCAAACAGAGCCCCTCAACCTCAGAACAGCCGAGTTATGAAGAACAACAACAGAAGCATCACTCTCAGTAGGTCTTAAAACTCAGTTGCTTTATCACCATACATTATACTGGAAGTCAGTATGGTCATTTTTTTCTAATCCTTGAAGGATCCAGTTGCACTGATACCTTCCAAAGGGCTTTAACATTAGGAATTACAAGTGTCAATAAATACTCTGTAAATAAGGGATTTTTTTTTAATATGCAAGTTTAAAGACACCTGTATTCTTGAGCTCACAACTTCCCCAAGCAATCCCATCCCCCCTTTCACCTGGACAGAGCAGGACTTCTACATACATGTTCTTACCCACCCTCAGACCTTGCAGAAGTGTTACTAATGAGACGATCATGGGGGGGCTGGACCCGATGATCTCATAAGGTCCCTTCCAGCCCTAAACTTCTGTGAATCAACCCCACCCCCACAGCTAGAGCCTCAAGTCATCATTCACCCACCTTCCTTATAGAAACCAGTCAGCTCAGTGGTCAGGTTTCCAGACTACTTATTTTACCAGAACAACCTTGTCCCCACAGTAAAGGAAACCCAATAAAAGAAGCAAGTGTACAAACAGCAAACAAATGAACAAACAAAACCCAAAAGGCTGTGGTCTTTTTCAGACCCTGGGAGAAGTTAACACAGACTCACTGCTTCTACCCAAGCACCACATCTCCCCTCTTTTTGCCTTTTTCCAATCTGTGCCTGGATCTTTGAAGCCTTTTTGTGGTTCCACCTCAAATCCCTCATTAGCTGCAGCTGCTGTCACCCTTCCTGCACTCGTAACTGCTGACTACCTGCAGTTGGGTTGCAGGCTCAGCCCTGCTCCTTACACAGACCCTCCAGCTTTTTTCACATACATGACCAAAGCAGCCACCTGGCAGAACTCCACCCCATGCCCTCACCTCTCACAGCTTTTTCCTTTACCAGCCTAATCCCAGTTCATTCAATTATCTCTCAGAAGATACAAATTCCCTCATGCCCTGACATGCTGTACCTCAATCAGACTTCCAACCAAAATGGTTCAATACTGTTTTCCTTTAAATGACATCTCAGTTCCTGGAGCACAGCTCCATGGCGAGCAATAGATACTGCGGTCACAGTATCCATGTCAGGCCCTGAATTTAATATTAAAATAGGTAGCCATAAAGGCTGCTATTGTGTAATGTAATATTGTTTTCCTCAAGTCCAATCACAAGAGCTTGCAAAATTCCCAAGTTCCTAATTTTTAAAATAAATGGCTCTGTAGACATTTCTTGAAAACAATTAAATTAAACAGGAAAGGCCAGAAGCCCTACCGTCACAATTAAACAGCCTACAATAAGACCTACTGTGTTTATTTAACTATGTCAAGAATTGCTCCCTGCCCTCCCTACAGAGACTGCTTTGGGATTCACGCTTCACAAAGTTCACTGATACCTAAAGTTTTCATTTTGTCTTGGCACAGGTGTTTCCAGCTCTGGAAAGTAACACAACACGGGGACTTTTAGATTACATCATTCTGTATTACAGTGCATGTTTTCTTTTCATTTTTACCATTTGATTTGATTTTACTAGCTGATCTCCTCTGAACCATGAGAGAGTGCCATTTCAAGCTTGCAGATGGTATGAAGCTAAAAATGAATGTTTTATATACACTAAACAGCAGCAACTAAAGCAGTCAGACACTGAACAAGGTGCTTGAACAGGAATCTAATTTTAAACAGAAATAGTCCCAGCAAAATCAAGCTTAAACACATACGCGGGCATCTTCCTGATCCAGGGCCTATGTGAAAAAGGTGCAAGATAGGGTCACACTGTTCTGAACACTAAGCTGTGATGCCTCCTGATTGGGATGGACAAGGAACAAAACAGTTACCAAGACTGAAATTGGAGAAAAGATCCAGATGGCTCAATGGCACCAGCTGTTCTTGTTTCGGGACATCTAACTGTAAGGTAAAAAGAGCACAGAGGCAGCAAGCCAGTTCAACAATGGGGTCAATAAAGACAGAAGGGAACCCACAACCCTTTCCCGGCAAGTCGTGAAACCACACGGTTACAACACATCGGAACTTTCAGGGTGGACTCCAAGGACAGAGCAAGTCTATCGCTGCAGAAGCAACTCCTGACCAGTCCCCTCAACCAGGATGGCCAGAAAATGCCTTGCTACCAAGGGTGGCACCTGTTGGTTTATCACCATACATTATACTGGAAGTCTCTGGCCATTTCTTTCTAATCCTTGAAGGATCCAGTACCACCGATACTTTCCAAAGGGCTTTAACATTAGGAGTTACAAGTATCAATAAAAAATCCCTTATTTACAGAGTATTTAATAAGTAAGTTTAAAGACACTTGTATTTTTGAGCCCACAACTTCCGCGGTGCTCAGTGCCCAGCCAACAGCCAAGACATGCCCTGCAGACCTGTGTCATTCAGCCCGCAGAGCTCCCCGTGGGTCCCAGCACGTGCTACCCTATCTCCCATTGCTGCCTGATAGCAGGAACCGCGGAGACAACGCAGCCTGTGCTTTGTCAGTGATACTTGACCAGAAAGGAGGCTGTGGCCCGGAGGGTCCCCGGGACTACAGGCCGGTCTTCACCCGTCTCCGAGCTGAGTATCACCGGGCAGTGCCCACTGGCTCCTTGGACTAGTTGGGGGGCCAGCAGGAACTGTCCAGTGAGCTCTACTTGGCGTCCCGCCTTTGGCACTCTTGTTTTGGCCCTTTGACCTTCACTCCTGTCTGTTTTCCTATTATTTGTCCCCAGCAATCAACTGCCCCCCTTCTCTGCTGCCTCCCTGCGCGAGGGAGGCTAAGGGTGAGGTGGTGAGTGGTGCTGAAGGGGGCAAACGGGCCCCTGAGCAGCTGCTGAAAAGGCAGGCGGGCGGGAGCAGCATCCCCTGCGGGGTGGGGTTTGGATGCCGCCATCCCGGGGCAGTGCCCCCCTCCGCCGCCGGGTGCAGCACGGGCCAGGGGCCCCACCGGCCTAAGGGGGGCAAACTAGGGGCCACAGTGGGGCTCGGCACCCGGACGCGCCGGCCCGGGCCAGCCCCAGGGTCGCAGACACAGCGCGGGGCAAGGGCCGCCTTCCCGCCCGCCCGCCGAAGCCAAGGGCCTCTGGACCCGGAGCGGCACAGGGAAACTGAGGCACCGTCACTACGCCGCCTGACTCGCCTTGGGTCACCCAGCGCGAAGGAGGCGGGGCCAGGCTTGCGCAAGCGCAATGCAATGGGAAGGGGCGTCCCGGTCCGGCGGCGGTACTGGCGGAGGACCCGGCTTCCTCTCTATAGTTCGCGCGGCTCAGAGCGGCCAGTCACGTGAGGGCCTGCGGAGGAGCGAAGGGGTGAGCGCGCGGGAGGGGTCGTGCGGGGCCGGCGCTAAGGGCGCGGCGCGGGGCGGGGGGGTGGAGGAAGGAAGGAAGGAACGGAGCGCTTCTCTCACCGGTGGGGAAGGGACACAGGCCCCAAAGGTGCAAGGCCGGTTACGTAGTGCGCATGTGTGGGAGCCGGAGCATGCGCACTGCCGGCTGTGAGACTGAGGCTCGGGTCCCCGCCCTGATCCTGAGAAGCAGGCACCCTCCCCCCCGAAGGCGCGAAGCCAGGTCGCTAGTGCGCACGTGTGGGATTTGGAGCATGCGTACTGCCGGTAGTTGTGTTCCTGCCCTAATCCTGAGGCGCGGAGGACTCCCCCCGGCGCGAAGGTAGGTCGGTAATGCGCATGTGCGCTAATAGGAGCATGCGCAGTGCCCTCCCCGGGCCCTGAGGAGTGGGAATGTGCTCAGACCCTGGACGGCTCTGCTGGGGGTGGTGATGGTCTGCTTGAGGCGAGCCTGGGGGAGGAGAAACACTCTACTCATTCTCCCTGGTCCTGACCCTGTGCAGGGACTCCTCGAGCCCCTCAGCGCACTGCAGAAGGACCCCCGTCGTCTTGTCCCTGAGAGGCCCGGGTTAGTTAGAGCCAGACTATGTAATTATTTGGGCCCGGGGGCCACATAGGGAGGTGTGAAGAGCTGTTGTGTGCTGGGTCCACACAACAACCCACCCAAACTCTCTGAGCACATCCACGTTCATTAATGTGCCTCAGATCCTGCAAATTTATTACTTCCTTAATTTTGGACTAACTGAACACACAGTATCTACAGTTACTGGCAGTGGGGTATTAGCATGGTTTGTGCCGTGACACACTACTGCGTGGTGGTATTAAGCTAATGTGCATTAAGCGTCTCATGTAGACATGCCCCCACTGTGGGATGGGGCCATAGGCGGGGAGCCGTATTCGGGAGAAGGATGAGCATCTTCTCCCTGCTGGGCCCCACTGCTCAGCTGAGCTCCCCTCACCTCTAGAGGCAGCTCCTCTTGCCCCTGGTGTGCTGCCCCAGGTGGGGGAAGCTTCAGCCGGTGGGTCCTACCCCAGCACATGGGGCTCTTGTAGCTCCCAGCCACCTTTTACCTGCTCCACCCGCTCGGCTGCCATTTCCCCTGGCTGGAAGCAGCGCCACGGGCAGGAGCAGGAGCAAAAGCTGCTGCTGGAGGTGAGCTGAGCAGCACCCGTGGGGCTGCAGCTGCACCAGGAGCCACCCTGCCAGAAGCTGTGCACGCAGGCTGGGGCCTGCAGACACAGTCAGGAGCGCAGCCTGGGCTGGGCTTGGCCCCATGCAGAGCTCCACAGGGGCAGTCACTGGCTAGATCCAGTCAACTGGTTGGTCGGATCTGGCCAGTGGGCTGTATTTTGGCCAACTCTTGAGTTGGAGAGTGAAGTTCTGACCCTTGCATTGCAAGACTCTACAGATGCCTCCCAATGGGAGGATCTCACCTACACAGTTTATGCTGATGACTGAGGATTGCTCTTGGGGGGGCACGGCGGTGGTGGGAGCATGTCAGTGGGGAGCTCCTGCAGATGCTGCCAGCACTGGCAGGGCGGGGGGCAGGGGTGGCAAGCACCGACCAGAGGTCGGGAATCACCCACAGATGCCACTGGCAGCATCAGCAGTAGACAGCGGGGATCACTGACTGCTCGCAGGCGGTGGCAGCGGCGGGTGACGAGCGACGACCGCCCCCCAGGCACCGCTGACAAAAAGGCGCCACTGACACTGCGCATGCCCCTAGCTTGTTCTTTCGGCTTTTTGGCTAGGGGCAAGCAAGACTAGGGGGCATCTAAACCCCAAGGCCTTGGGGCTTGCATGTAGGATGCCTGCCATGGGTTTGGGAGTATCCTAAGCCCCAGGCTGAAGAGTTTGGGAGGTAGGATACTTGCCTGTGGTAGCACCGCATGGACCTGAACAGTTGAGCTCTGCTCAGTCGATAGAATTTGGAGTTGATTTGGCCTGAGACATGGAATTTAAAAAAAAAACAAAACCACCCCAAACCATATGATGCATATGTGAATGCAAGAGCCAAGATCTCCTGAGTGGCTTTTCTCAACAGGAATTAAAACAACCCCCAAGGTGCCACTCTGGAGGGTTTGGGCCATTGCGAATGACGTCCTTTTTGTTTCGCAGGTGTTGCGTGATTGCGGGCTGGCTGCGCACTGATGGACAGTGAGGTGCAGAGGGATGGAAGAATCCTGGATCTGATTGACGATGCCTGGAGGGAAGACAAGTTACCATATGAGGATGTGGCAATACCCCTGGTAGGTGACCGCTGTGCACTGAACTAACAGCCTGATCTTGAGTCCTTGCATTTCCAAATTTCTTAACCCCTTCTAAGCAAATGATCCTTGCAACACCACCACTTTGTACCAGAAATACTCTTATACCGCTCTGTTCAGCTTCCCCTTTGTTTTGTGTGTGGCAAGAACATGGGATTCACTCCCACTTCCTCCCTTCTCTTCCCCCTCCACAGGTGGGGGTACAAATGCTTTCATCCCACAGCTGTTTGACTCCTTGGAAGGAGGAAACATCTCCTCTTGCTCTTAGTCAGTTGTCAGCCTCTTTGGAGGGTGCAATGCTTCTTCCCATCCCCTGCCTCTGTTTGGGGTTAGGGGCAAGCACAAGTGATGCTCTTTTATCAAACTACATTTTATTATAGTGCTGGCTGTGTTTGAAGCAGTTTGCCAGACTGGGGTCTGTGGGTCTCAGATAAGCAGCCTTGTGTTGGCAGTGTGTGGAGAGTTAGCATTTAAGTACTGTTGGCTACTTTTCATTCCCAGCTGCTAAAATGCATTCAGTGTTTTCCTAAGAGTACTTTTCCATGTAAACAATCACTGTAATTATTACTAAAATGGTGTGATCATGGTGTCGGGACCGAGGGTCGGTCTAAGGCTATGGCCAGTAGCCCGGACCATCAGGTGGGGTTTTTCCACAACAGAGTAGAGTTAGGCACGGAAGCGTATTGGTTTTACAAAGAAAGCTTTACTTACACCGCCGATGGTCACAGTGCAGGGAGGAAACTTGCTTGAGTTGCAGTTGCACACAAACAAACAAAAGTGAGATCTCTTCCGAACCGCACCAAACCGAGATGAGTCGTCGATGTACGACTCCACGAGCGCTTTACACGGGGGATACGTCAAATTTCCACTATGACGGGGAGTGGCTAAGAGCTGATCAGGCCTCTATGTCCTCCTCCAAGACACACGCGGAGTTTGCTAGGCTCCACAGCGCGCTCAGAGTTCCCCACGAGATGGTTGTGGAGTCCTCCAACTTGGGCGGAA